AATTTAATTCCAATAAAAAAGATACAGCTGAAAAGTAGCTACCCCTCGTAGTAAATATTTAGGGGTCTACGCTAACAGAAAAGCAAAGCAAACAGCCTCCATAGTAAGCAACCTCTTTAAAACTATAAAATAGAAACTCTTTTGTTAACATATAAAAAATACACAATATAGCACAATATAAGGAACAAAAGCCAAATATATTTCTGAAATAATGTAAATAATGTAAATTGCTTTATATCATCCAATAAATAAAAATTATTTTAAGATGAGATCGAAAACAAAGAGCACCTCTGTTTTGCATACACATGGAACACAGAAAACAAATTATTTGAGAGAAATTAAAAGAAAAATTTTGGGTGAAGTCATGCTAGGGAAATGCAACCCCACCCCCAGAAAAGAAAACACTTCAACCTTAATGTTGAAAAGATATATCATGGAATTCAAGGTCTTTATACACAAAAAGAACAACCAGCTAGAAAATATAATGAAAGAAAATGTTTCTATTTATCATAGCATTTGAAAAGGTAAAATACCTTGTAATGATATTAATAAGAAATATGCAAGAACTTCTTGAAGAAAATTTCAATACATACTAAAAGAAACAAAAAGAGACTAAACAAATATAAGTATATATCATGTTCTTGGCTTGGATTTGATCTGTACATTTAGAATTTTGTGTGTGTGTGTGTGTGTGTGTGTGTGTGTGTATACAGAAAAATTCTGTGAGTAAAAAGAAAAAATGATAAGAGAATTAGATTTGCCAAATCATTTTATAAAGCCCTAATAACCAAAATGCCATTTTTTTCTGGGTGCATAAATAAGACAATATAACAGAAAAGTATTTAAAAAGTGAAAAAACATAGACTAAATAGGGAATTTAATAGAAGTTAATGTCTTCAAGCAATGTGGAAAAGATGGGTGATTAAAAAAATCTGTGATGCTCTCATGGGATAGAATTAAGTTGGTTGCATACCTCACATCTTTTATCAGGATAAATTGCAAATAAATTGTTTAAAGGTAGAAAACAACTATAAAAGTTTCAGAAGGAACATCAGATCTTTCCCTAATACATTTAAGTGTAAAAGCCTTCCTAATCACAACCCAAAATCCAGAATCCTTTTAAAAAAATTTGATAAAATTTGACAAAAAAAAAAAACTTTATGCAAAATTAAGACAAATGAAAACATGGGAGGAAGTGCTTCCAACTCATAATATGAATTAGTTTCCTTGAGATACAAAGAGCTCACAGAAATCAATTTAAAAATGACAAAAGTCCAATGGAAAAATAGAAAAAAAATGAACAGATGGCTCACAGAAAATGAAATAAAAATAGAAATGAAAAATTGGAAGAATGTAAAGACAGAAATACAAATGGTTCTTAAAACATACAAAGAATGGCCTGAAAGAAAGCAAATTAAGAGATGCTATTTTTCACCTGATGTTCTTTTGCTTCCAGTGATAACATAACATTTTATAACCCCTATAGGACCATTCAGCAATAACTGTCAAAATTCAAAATCTGTCTCACACAGAGGCCGACATATGAGAAGTTATGGGTGCACACAATCATTTTTTGAAGCACCCGCATTGCAAAAGATAGACACCAAGAAGTCTATTTGTCGTGGACTGGTTAAATACATTCAATTTATACAGTGGAATACTATGCTGCTTTTTAAAAAAATATGAGGAACCCTGTACACAGACATCAAATGTCTACAATATACATTGTTAAGTAAAGGATGCAAGTTGCAATCTCATTTTCAAATCATATGTATTACAGATATGGTTTTAAGTGTTTACTGTAAGAAAAGAGGAAAGCAGAACTACATTTGCATTTGTTTGTGTTAACGTAGAGGGTGTCTGAAGTCTATACGGGAAACTAAAAGTGAGGTGGGTGTGGGCAACAACAGAAAGGGAGCGATCCAAACTCTTGTGCTTTTTACTTTGTGCAATACGTGAAGGTATTACCTATTCAAAAATTAGATAAAAATTCAAAACAACAAATGAACAGAAAAGGCATGAGACTACACTCTGATAAACCACTCCTGTCTTTTTATCTTTTGTGTGGTTTATCTCTACCGTTGCTGTCTGGACAAAAGTATGGGACAGAGCACAGGAACTCAAAATATCGGAGGGACGTAGCCCCACTCTTTCCAACCTCCATGTCTCCGGAATGAATACATCAAATAATTTCATCTCAAGACCTGATGTTACTTATAGTACAATAAGATGATATATAAAATATGCTAATCATAATATATTGTAATATGTATAATATGCTATAAAATTAATAATGTATTATCTTTTTCCAGAAGTCTTCTTATGGATCATTTTTACTTATGCAAGTAATAATGCTTCATTGACCTTCCTTAACAAAATGCAACCTACCTCTCTCTCCCTGCTAAAATGTCCATGCACACTAACATTCATATACTGGTCAAGGGTTTGCTGACATCAAAAGGTCAACCCATTCGTCCTAATGGTCGGAGCACTGCAAGCCAGCATCCCAAGTAAGCACCCCCGTTCAGCACGCTTGGATCTGTGCAAGCAGTCACCACTCCAGGAAGATCACAGCATACCGTACAATTCACAAGCACATTGGAGTATAGCAGCTGCATCCTTTGGTGCAATTTATGGCATTTTGGGAGGGCCAGATGTGTAAAGTAAATCTTTTCCAACTAATTTTTTAAAATTGTAACTTTGGCCTTTAAGATCCTCTGGCTTTTTTTTTTACTTCTTAGGAAACAGAGTGCTCCTTATTAAAAGTTGCAAACATGATTTGGGAAAATGTTGAGCAATAAATAACAGATTTACAACTAGTTTGGTATTTGTGTTGCCTTTAGGATACAGTCACACAGGTAAAACACAGATGAAAAAAGCATCCCAGGGAATCACCACCTGTGCTGACCCACGTTCATTATCTGTGCTAGTTTTTGTTTTGCCCATTCCTCATACCCTAACTTAACCTTCAGATACCCCCGAACTGGTCATTAGTTCATAACACAAAACTTCCTCCCACCCTCTGCCTGCTTCATTGCCTTTCACAGCATTTCATTTCATCTGTATGTTACTTGTTCATTTGCGTTCTTTTTTTCTTTGTTTTCTCTTTATCAAGAGGTAAGTTTCATCAAAGTAAAAAACCACACATGTGGACTTGGAATGGTTTGGCTTAGACTTTTCAACTTTACAAGGGTGTGAAAGCCACATATATTCAGGAGAAATTAGACCTCAGTACAGTATTCAAAACATAACATAAGCTACTCAATACTTTACTATAAAGTTAGCTTCCTGTTAGATGATTTTGCCCAGTTTTAGGCTAATGTAAGTGTTCTGAGCAGGTTTATGCTAGGCTATACTAAGCTATGACATTTGATAAGTTCCATGTACCAAATGGTTTTCTCAATGTATGTTATTTTCAGCTTAGTTTACCAGGACACAATTCCATCAAAGCTGAGGAGCATTTGTACATATATTAATCACTGCTACCCCTTAGACGATTTTGCCCAGTTTTAGGCTAATGTAAGTGTTCTGAGCAGGTTTATGCTAGGCTATACTAAGCTATGACATTTGATAAGTTCCATGTACCAAATGGTTTTCTCAATGTATGTTATTTTCAGCTTAGTTTACCAGGACACAATTCCATCAAAGCTGAGGAGCATTTGTACATATATTAATCACTGCTACCCCCAGTGCCCATATGGTAATTAGAATATTGTATGTTTTTAATCAATAAATGTAAAACAAATGAATCAAGGAATGTGTGAGTGAATGAATGGTTCTTTTTAGTACATTTCTGTTTATTAGTTATATAAATAAAAGCTACTATAGAGCAGAAATTCCCATTTGCTTTCAGACAGAGGTCAATACATGTTAAAGCAGCATAGTCACACAAATTTGTGAAAAACTGGATGAAACAGTCAAACAGGTTTTTTTTTTTTTTCCTTTTTTTCCTTTTCTGAGACGGATTCTCACTCTGTCTCCTGGCTGGAGTGCAGTGGCACGATCTCATCTCACTGAAACCTCTGCCTCCTGGGTTCAAGGGATTCTCCTGTCTCAGCTACTAGAGTAGCTGGGATTACAGACACAGGCCATCACACCCATCTAATTTTTGTATTTTTAGTACAAAATTAGGGTTTCACCATGTTGGCCAAGATGGTCTGGATCTATTGACCTCATGATCCACTCGCTCCAGCCTCCCAGAGTGCTGGGATTACAGGTGACCCACCGTGCCCAGCACAAGTATTTTTTTAAAGTAGGACTACTTAGATTCAGTAACTTGCTAATGTGTCTTGTGACTTGAAGAAAAATATATAAGATGCTGTGTTTCCAAACTTATTTGACACTGAAACTCTCATTTCAAGGACCATTCCTCTGGATTAATATTCTGGGTGATACATACCGGGAAATTACATTAGAAGTTTTTTCTCTGTGAACCTGGTTTCAGTCCATTAGTACAGAAAACACTTATTTGTCTAAAATTAAAACTAAAAAAAATAGCTTCAAATAAATGAAAAATGTAAAACATTCTACCTCTGAGAAAATGGTAAATTAGGAAATTCATTTTTTAAATCTAGTTTTTTAATAATCTGTTCAGTTTTATTTTCCTCTTTCTATGATTTTTACAATTGAATATAGCAGGAGAATTAATATTTGTGAAGATGGTCTTGAGTCATTCTAAAAGAAAGAATGCTGTCTAAATAATAAAAATTAAATTTGATTTAGTATTGATTTTTATTTTATTGTAGTCTAATTATTTAACATTTCTAAATATTTGTACCTCTAAGGTCATTCTGCTTATTAGATTATCACTTTAGCCTTAATTATTATTTATTCCCAAATCATTTTGAATAAATTGAAGTTTATTTTTTTATCTGCTTATAAGAAGTTTTGAGATGGATGATTGATTTTAGATGCGATTCAATTACAGTCTTTAGATTGAAACATAAATATTTGGAGTGGACTGAACTCTAAGTAGAAAAGTACTGGGGATATTTTATTACCTTTTTGTATAGTTGGTGTTGCACTGTCTGCAATCAGTTGCAAGCAGTCTTGAGTGACTAAAAAGCAAAAATGTATCATTTTAGTTACTTGAGTAGAAATAGTAAAGAAACTAACTGAGAACACAAGTTACAATCGCATTCTTCCAGAAACACTAAATCAATTACACTTTTTACATTGACTGCATGATATTCTTAAAGTTACTTTATGATATTTGCCCACTGATTTTAATATATACATATATATACTGGAAATCCATGACATTTCAGAAAAACTCTATGTGCTGTTAAAACATAGTAAGTATATCACCTGTTCAGTTTAACCTAATTTTCTATGAAAAAATGGCTGAATTTAAAGCAAGTTTTATCATTTGTTTTGCAGGTCTACCAAATACATGAAACAGTTAACCTTATAAGATCATTCTAAACAGTTTTTTGTTTTTAAAAAAATCGGCCAGGCGCGGTGGCTCACGCCTGTAATCCCAGCACTTTGGAAGGCCGAGGCGGGTGGATCACGAGGTCAAGAGATCGAGATCATTCTGGTCAACATGGTGAAACCCCGTCTCTACTAAAAAAACAAAAAACTTAGCTGGGCATGGTGGTGCATGCCTGTAATCCCAGCTACTCAGGAGGCTGAGGCAGGAGAATTGCCTGAACCCAGGAGGCGGAGGTTGTGGTGAGCCAAGATCGTACCATTGCACTCCAGCCTGGGTAACAAGAGCGAAACTCCGTCTCAAAAATAAAAAATAAAATAAAAATAAATCTAACATTAGATAATGATTTACTACTATAGAAAATACTATTTCTGACACTTCTCAAAGTTAAAGAAAATTGCTAATATTTACTGAGCAGATGTAAGTGCAGACAGTGTACGAAGACTTAGTACACATCAATTCCATTTACTGGAAATGAAGATTTGGAAAGTGTAAAAAGCTTGTTCAGGGACTCAGAGACAGAATATGGTGGGACCAGAATTTAAACCCCAGCTGTTTCACTCTGGTTCCAAAGGTAAGCTTTTGGTAAAATATTTTGGACCAAAGAGAGATAGAACATCTTTTACAAATAAAATGGAAGACTTCCATGAGTCTGCATAATCAGTACAGGGTCTTGAAAACATCAATTCACATCACATATTACATGTAGAATATTCTGGTCAATATCTAAGAAACCAAGTAACATGCATTAAATAAGGAGAAATGCCTTTAGGTAAAAGCCAGTTCAGTACACCCACTGAGTCTGTAGGGAAGATAAATAAAGCAGTAAACATCTGTGAAAAACGGGAAACATAAATCTGAGCTTGAATGTTTTCCATTAAAAAATATTAGTTTAGTTTTCTATCTAGCAAATATTTTACTCAGAGTTGAAATAATACTTTATAAAGATGCTTCTCAATGTATACATTTTATAAACTTGACATGGAAGGGAAATTCTGTTGTGATTAGTTGGTGATTGTCTGGTGATTAACTGAAAATTTTCTAATACAATCATGCACTGCATGATCTAAATAATGACATTTAGGTCAATGAGAGAAACTGCATATCTGATGGTGGTTCCATAGGATTATTTATAATACCACATTTTTCTGTACCTTTCCTATATTTAGATACACAAATACTTACCATTGTTTTATTATATGATTGCCTACAATATTGAATACAGCAGCATGCTGTACAAGTTGGTAGCCTAGGAGCAATGGTGTGTACTGCAGAGCCTAGCTGTGTAGAAGGCTACACCACCTAGGTTTGTGTAAGTGTGCTCTGATGTTTGCACAATGATGAAATTGCCTAGGGATGCAGAATGTATCCCTGAGACTATATCCCTGTGATTAAGCAACTTAAAAACGACTGTATTTAAAACATGAAATAACACTGTAGTAATTAAATAATGTTCTGAGTTTGTATACATACCATTAAAGTCTGTGGTCACATAAGAAAATCTGTTAAGAAATTCACTTTGGTATTTAAAGGTGAAAATATATTGTTAAAACTGAAACAAGTTGTTAAAAAAAAAACTGTAATTCCTTTCCTTTATAACTATAAACCTTTTCTAACATATTTTTATGTTAATTTTTGAATGATTTTTATGGAAGAGCATTCTGGCCCACCCTGAGGTTTCCTTTCTTGATCTTATACAGGAAAAGTAGCCATGCTTGTGCCCCGGGAAAAACGCGATTCCTTCCTCACCATGGCAGAATCTCTCCTGCTGGAAGTATGAAAAAGCATCATAACAAGAAGAATGGTAGCGAATGAGGACAGCATGAAAGAAGAAATAACAAGCCCTCCAGGTCAGCTAATGCCACAAGGACACAGTCTCCATATTAGTACAGTAGTAGCCATGTGGAACCTGTTTTAAGAGTTTTTATTTTTCCAACAAATCCTTCTTGAGTAATCATTATTCACAAAGCACCCTGACAGGTTTGTGTGAATGGCACCAGGGTCAATCAGCGTATACAAAGCTCTCATCATTCCTCCACTTTAAAAACAAGGGAGGATGTTGATGAAAGTCAACGTCAGATTTTTAAACTTTGCATATTTCCCTGTGTGTATACATATGTTGTAAAGACTGAATGACAAAATGCATGGGAAACACTTTGCTCTATACTCAGTGCATAACACTTGCAAAATACGTAAACCTTGGCTACTTGTATCAGTAGTGGTGTTAACATTATTGCTTTTAATAATATCAAGGCAAATAACTTAGAACACATCACCGAAGGACACCGTGGGAACATGTGGCCCCACTGCGGCTGATAAGGGTCAAAGAAGGACCAGAATGCAGGATTTCCTATTTCCAGTCACCCTTTCTCTGTTTCCCAAAAACTTTGATAGGAGACTGCTATGGTCTAAATGTTTGTGCTGCCCCAAAATTCCTGTGTTGAAACCTAACTGCCGACCTGATGGCATCAGGAAGGAAGGCTTCAGGAGGTGATTATGCCATGAGGGCAAAGCTCTCATGAATGGAATTAGTGTTCTTGGAGATCCCAGAGAGGTAGCTTGCCCTTTTTCCCACAGGAGAAACCAGTGAGAAGGCATCATCTACAATCCAGGGCTCATCAGATACGGAAATCTTAGGTCTTGGACTTCCAGAAACCTGAACTGTGAGAAATAAATCTTTACTGTTTATAAGCCACCCAGTCTATGGCATTTTGTTCCAGCAGCCTTGAATGAACTAAGGCAGATTTAGACACTCTATTTAGTCAGAAAAAGGTTTACCTACTCAGTTACAACTTAGTGAAAATATCCCCATTTTAATATCCACTGCCCAATGAAAATTTGGCCACAACTTACACATTGCAAAACTGTGGTCTATTCCATCACGTAGTAGCAGAAATCTAGTATTTAGCAGAAAATGTGCTTTGAAGAGAAAAGTTTATTTCAAGAACTGTTCTTCAGAAGAGAAAATGTATAAATTGATGTTTCAATAATGATGTTTCAATTACAGCCACTGAAGTTGGTACTAGTCATCCATCGTCCTTGTTCCAGACAAAGTTACCTGGTTTTTCCAAGTAACTTTCCCAATTGCCTTTTTCCAAGGCAATTCCTTTTAGGAAATTTGACAGCGATTATCAACTTATTTCCTATTCAGTCTTTTAAGACTTTCTTTGCCATTCAACATAGATCTGGTCTTAGGCTGGAGATGAACGCTTAGCTACAGATTTGCTTCACAAAGAGTGGAGCAAAAAAGGCAATATTGTTTTTAAGGTCTCCGAGTAGCATAGCTATCTAACCACAAGAGTTTTGAAAATGCATAGTCTAATAAAAAACACAATTTGATTACAATTGTCATATTAATTAGTTATTGTTTGGTTTTCAAAAGCCTTTCACACATCTCTCCCTCTACTACAATTGAAAGGAATTACACAAGAGGTTAAGAATAGTTTTTGTTTTTTTTTAATTAAGCAAGGCAATAATATACATTAAAACCTTTCTGAGTCTATGGGGACACATTTCTGAATATAAATTTCTGGAGATTATGATGTAATCATGTGTAAAATACATATTAATCTTACAAAAATGCCATTTTACAGCATAAGAAAATTTACTCATCATAATAAACTTTGCATAAAGTATTTCTAAATACAAAATATTATAATGATGACCAAAATGTTTACAAGATAAAATTACCAAAACAAGAACTTTAAGGACAAAAATAATTTGCTACTGATCAATATTTGACACAATAAAATTCAACATGTCACAATTAGAGTATAATTTAAATATAATACATATGGGAAACAGTTTTACAGTTTGAAAGGCCACCTTTTGAAGCATAATGTCTAAATACCATTTCATCAGAAAAAGTAATTTGAAAGTTTAGAGAATTGCTAATATCTGTTATACTATTTTCTGTACTGGAAGTGAACCCATTCAATCTTGAAACTGGTTTATTATCCATTATTTCAATAAAGCTAAATCGAATCTAAACTTCCATAAATAATGCCATTATTGCAGATTATGTGTGGCTCCCATGAAAAACTCCACACAGAGCTTTCCCATCACATTTAACCTATCCACAGCACCTGCACCCACTGATTCTTCACAGCGCTTCTCACTCATCTCATTCAAGAAGTCTCCTCCAGCTATGAGTCTGGATGAGACGTGCGTCCTGCATCCTCCCTTATCTCTCTGCTTTTTTTCCTGTCATCGTATCTACTGCACCATATGTTTTTAAAGAAGGAGGATCTTGGACGGCAATGCCTCAATTTCATTTCTGCATAACTTATCATTTGATAGACATAAGTTATGACAAATGTAGCAGATTAATTTTTCTTGAACTAGCTTTGAATACATGATCAGTGGCAGAACAATGTTAATTAACTAGGGGAAACCACTTAAAGATCTCAATATTGGCCTAATATTTGACATAGACTTATGAAGAAAATGGGGAAAGCATGATATTGAATTAACACTTCCTCTGAAATGAGAATACACAAATTTAGAGGAAGGAAGCTAGTGTATAAGGTTTTATTTTACCAACAATAACTTGGTTGTTTACTTAAAAAGTAATAAAAGTTGAGAACTTTGAATTTCCCAAGTGCAAATTTGTTCTCATTCAAATGT